CCTTTGTCACTCTGGGGCCCAAGAACTGTCCTTTGGAGGGTGATTTGTGGATGCCGAGGGCTTGTGAGTGTTGTAGCTAATGTCAGAGGACACTCCAGCCTCTAGACAGCCATGACCTGAGTTTCTTCCTGCTCGGCATCCCTCTCCCTCTGTTCTCTGAAACATTATCCCTGCAGCATCGTCCACTACGAGGACTGCAAATTAGTTCAACTTGTGCTTCCCCTGGTCCCCAGGTCTGCGCCAAGTGCTGCTCTGCTTTAGATTTGTTATAAGCTATTAGTGCATATGACCTGATAAGGGAGTGGCCAGAACAGCACAAACATCCGTCTCCGAATACATCCGTCATAGCCCACATGTGCTTACGGAAATGAGATCTTTTTTTTTTCTTTCTGGAGCGCCTTGAGTCAAATATTTAGGTGCATCAGCTGGGCTACGAGAGCATCTCAGGTTCATATAATCCCTAATAAACTTTCCAGACTTGCGTGTTTTGTGTAAAGAATGCAGCACATCCAAAAACTAAGCACAGCAGTTAAGCTAATGTGTAAGCGATCTTGATGGAAACCCTCAAAGACTTTTTTGCCTTTAGCTGATTTGAAAAAGGCATTCAGCAAGTAGAGAGTGTCTGTTTATGTTTATTACTGCTAATCCAGGCGACGATCACCAAAAGATGTTCTTTGTTTATAGAAGACAGAGGGCACCCACTTACGCATATATATATCTCCCGATCATCTTCAAAAGGCGACACTTGATCTGTTTAATTGAATTAGCTTTTTGTTCGAGTCTGGCAAATCATCTTTGAACATCTTACCACAATCAAACAGTAACAGTGTGCGAGCTGCAGACGTCTGACCACAGCACTATCAAGATCAAAGGGGATGGCGGCCCTTAAACATGCATTTCAAAAGTGGAATCTACGCTTCAATGTGCAGGCTGGCTCAGGCAGTGCAGCGGAAAGTGAAGCTCACATGAAAGAACTGCTTTACGAGACTCCAATGAACAAGCTTGTGAAACGGAGGGACAAAAGGTTAAGTGAGGTAAAAAGAGCAACTAATCCAAGACGGTGAACTAGTTCTGCATCACATTACCTTCTCCAAGTCTCCATTATGTTCAATTCATGCTTCTGTTATGTTGACTAATTGTAGGCACCAATGAGATCAGCATAACAAAACAGACTCTGAAACACTTTCTATTACAGTCCTTTATATTCGAGGTATTAATCATGGAAGTATGAAGTACAAATACCAAAGTACTAAGTAGTTATTTTGAGTTACATGATGGTAAGTTTTTAGGCAGTTTAACTAAATTACACTTAAATGCCCAACAGGTTCTAGGCATTAAAAGGGAAAAAGTTCCACCATTTTTTTTCTTTCTGCATAATTCAATTCTGTGCACTTTAATGTGAGATTGTTAATTGAAGAGAAAATTACAGAAAATTACATTGGGGTTCACAATGTCTGCAACACAAAGGTAGCCATTTTATTAATGATCCAATATGACCAGCAAACCTACACGTGTCTTGTGAGTTATATATAATGTTGATAATAGAAAAATAGTGGTAAACCTTACTACACCCCACACCATTTACTTCAGAAAATTAGCTTTGTTTTTTGCACTGTAATTTTACATCATATCACTCAAGTGGCACTGTGAAATGTTCACAGTATATTTTCTATATAATTTAAATTGAATTTTTGTGTGAATATGTTTATACTTACCACTTTGTTTTTCCAACAAATTGAGTTATCAGTTTAAAAGCTAGAATCTCTTAGTCATTAAATTTAAGACTCTTTTACTCTTATCATTTCACTGAAAAAAAATTACACAGTACTTTGGACCTCACCCTACTCAGTTAATATCGAGAACCTGTTTTAGATTTCAGTGGTGGTTAATGTCTAAAATGTAGGGGACAACAAATAGTTTGGTGTTTGTGACTATGGACACTTTTGGCTGTGCACATTTTTAGCAAATGCACAACACAAAACTGAGGTCTTGTTATTTTTGTGACACTCTGAGCTGGTGTGGTAAGGATAATTTTCATGGCTTTTGAGTGTAAATGCCAAACAGCACTTATATATTTGAATTTAATAGAAATATCAAATTGTTTTAAAAGCCTAAATCAAAACACATTAGTTATGAGCTGTATGACAAGGACATTATGCACATTACTGCTTTTTATGCATCTGAAGATTAAACAAGTGTAAAACATGCCATTTTGGCATAAAGATATGCTCCATAACAAATTCAATCTAGCATGTTAAAAAAAATTATGACATTAATAACATATTTTCCATGCTTTGTGCTAAAAAATTTTAACTAATACAACCACATTTACTGAATAATAGCAATGGTGACACCTAATACCAATTAAATGTACAGCATATAAGAACATTATGAACATTATAGGGTACATTAAATTTTCATTACAGATACCTAAATTAGAAATGTCAATGTAGCAAAAATGAATAAAATAAACAATTGACCACACTTTTGTGTGATTTCTGAGTTATTCAATCACAAATATTTGGTTAAGTTGATTAAGAAAGCTATTAATTTAACATCATTGACTCTTCATTCCTATTAATAACACACTTAATTACCATAATATCCATTTAGGACCTTACTTTGGAACGTACATTATATCATCATAAAATATAAAGTGATTTAGTTAATATGCTTTGAATCAATATACTAATGTTATAGAGAGAATGGTTGTGCATTAATTAACATGAAAATATGAAAAGTTACAAGTTACAAAATATGAAGCATGTATTATATAGAATGGGATTTTTCCTAGCTTTTTACTAAAGCAGTTACTTGTAAAGTCATAAATAGCTAGACATAACCTGTTATACAGCGCCGTTGTGTTTCTCTCATGTATGCATCTTAACTAGGGGTGCATGATTCGAATCGGCCAAGATTATGATATTTAAATAGGCAACTGAATTTTCCGTTTAATTTAAAATGTCAATTTAGCCCTTTAAAGAGTAAATACTGTTTTTATATTGTGACTTCCACTAATAGAAAGTACTTTGGGTTAAAAAAAGGCAGATAAAAATCAGCCATCGGCCAATTTGGCTGGAAAGGAATCTGAACTGGATTCATGAAGACTGATGATCTGTGCACCCTTACCCTCACTCTTTTAATAAGTTCACTTCTGTTTATAGATACATAGATATAGTTTCATTAAGAGGTGACTTTGAATGGTATATGATTATCTACCCTACAGTACAGTCCTCTGTCACTTCACTGTATTTACATTTGTATATAAGGGGAGTTCCACAAAAATAAAATCAGCATAATTCAGTCTTTAAGATCAACAAAGTCATTCAGCGTGGTTTGATGTGAAATGCTCCATTGTAGGGAAACTTACAGAGTCAGTATTGTTCACAGTGTCGGTGATAGGAACCAGACGTCTGAAGTGTTTAATGCCTCTAAAAGCTCTTTCAAAGAAATCTATCGCACAACAAAGTTACAATTACGTCATGTCTGCTGATGGAGATATTGTTTTAGGATAGTTTTGCAATAATATTTTGGCTTAAAATGTATTTTTTTAAATCCATTCAGGCCAGAGAGGTACATGCAGGGCGTTCTAAGCCAAAAATCTGTTTTTCAGATTTACCACTACTATTTTACCATTGTTCTGGATAGTAAATAAAATGGCTTAATTTGTGTTGTACATATTGTGACCCCTGGTCACTATAATCCCCATTGTAAAGAAATCAGTTAGTAAGTTTCTCAAAAATTAAGCATTTCACATCAAACCACTCTGACTTTATCTACATCTGAATGATTAAATTATGTAGACATTTTGAAAAATCATTGGAATTTTCATTAATTACTCTAATGGTAGCTTGGTCACACTGCAATATGAATAGTGCAATACGAACCTAATCGTAAATCTCCAGACAAGTTCAAACCTTGTCTGGAGACTTACGATTACATTCTATTGACACCTGGTGTTCAAAAGCCTGTTCAGAGCCACTGAGCTTGAGACACCATGAAGCAGCCACTAAAGTGTTAAACACACTCACAGGAGCTACTCCCATCTCTCACATACCCTGGCCTTCCTCCTGGCTGTGGAACACTGTGCCAGGTCACTGCCGAGCAATGAGTGCGTATGGGCGCCGTAACTCAGGGCAGATGCTTTGTCAGCATCAATTTCTTTAGGTACTACTCATGCGTTGCTCTCCAACACTTGTTCTTGAATTACTTGGGAGAACATGCCTGCCAGCTATGTTTGAGTGAAAGCATCGCACGTCAAGCGACTATGGATATGGTTTGATTGTGATATTGAAAATGGCTGTAATAGATGATCCCGGGAGATTAGATAACTATTGTTGAATATTGGCTGCATGAAAAGAAAGCCATTTAGTCCAGAAGGTCATTCTTTTTTTTCCATATTTTGTTCCTTCTCTGTAGTTGATTAGCCCTTTTTTCCACAGAGGCCTGCCATACATTAGGCGAAAGTTTGGAAAATGTTAATTTGTATGATTTACAGTATAAACACCTCATTGAGTTTTGTGCACTGCACAGGCTGGAGCTGGTTAGCTGCGCGTTGGGAGTTCTTCCATGAGCAACTTACACGCTGCACTCGAGCATGTAACAGACATGACAAACACAGAGGCCTTCAAGATTAAGTGGAGTAAGAAAAGCATGACAGTTGTAGTCTTTTTTACGGTCTGAAGCTCGGGACGTGAGTAGCACCTAAAGCTTTGTCAAACAAACGGCTGAATGGAGGTCTATACCTGCAGTTCACCATCCTGCTGTTGAGACTGAACCGTTCACGTCTGACAAACTGATTCTTTTGTGCGAATTCTTTTTTCTTGTCTTTTGTAGTCGTCTTGCTAGACATTCCAAAGCGCAACAAAACATCCACTTCCCAATCGCAGCGCATTGTTTATTGAGGCCTTGCTGAGAGACGGGCTTAGCGTGCAGGGGCAGCCAGAGGAGAAAGAATCTGTCAAAGCACTGTAAAAAGAAGGATAACAAACACACACGCCTTTCTCATATACTTTACTTTATTCATGTTCTCTTTTTGTTAGGAAATTCACTATTATTTTATATAGTACAATAATGGCTATTTTCTACAAAAAAAAAATGCTGCATAAATAATTTAAATGTTGACATTAAAAAATAAATATACAGTTCTTTCTTTGAAGGAGTCCCTCTCAGGGGATCGCTCCGTTGAGCATTCAGTCATTTGGAGGGCTTTTGCTTCATGAGACCACGAAGGTACAGTATGTACAATCAGGCTATACATGACAATTCTGCTTACATGGAGAAAAAAAATCCCTTCCAGTTTCTATTTCAAACAGACAATTGAAAAAGAAGCAAACATGGTCAGTACTGTTTAGAAGACAGAGATGGGGACGCCATGGGGAGAAAACAGTGGAGTTGAACAATGTGCGGAAGCCAGTGGAATATTCTTCGTTACATGTCTGCTGGACGTGGAGACAAAAATGTCTGGATTCCAGAGTTCTCCTACTGTACATCCTGCATAATATCAACATGCACTCACATTTAGAGTTCAGTTCAGTATTTCATTTTGTCTGGTCTCCTTGCTTCAGTAGGGATGTTAAAAACCCCATCAGGATGTTTTATGAATCAATTCTTTTTTTGGGCAGCTCCAGTCACTACATGCATGCCATTTTTCACGTTTCACATTTTCAAGGACATTTCATTCCATCTCAAATGTCTCACTCAGACACCTTCTTGCTTAAATATACTATATATAAGCAAAATATTCATTTTCATAATGATTAGGCTGATAGTTTTACATGAACTTTTACATAATATTAACATGTAGTTTTATATCCTGATTGGTGCTTTATTATCCTTCCATTAAAAGCTTATTACACTTAGATAACCATTAAAACCACCTAGTTACTGCAACTGACCAAGAAGCTCCAAATGGTTTCCAGGGAAGGCGGGGTCTAGAGAAGTATTGTACCCCCAAGGTATGAACAGGCCCAATAGTTGCAGATTCCTAGACACATATGGGCCCCTTTTCTGCTATTCAAACAAACAGGAACTGACCGCGTCTAGAGGAAATGGCTTTTTATGGCTCAAATCCTAAACACAGGAATGGGACTTTTTAGTAATTGGGACAAGTCAGTGGAATACCATTTTGTGCTCTTGGCCCTAAGGGACTCAGCACTGACACAACTGTTCCCACTCTCTGTTCCTGACAGTGGGCTTGGCTCCAGCTGACAGCTCCTATAACGGTTCTTCTGGAAAGGTAAAGGCTGTGGGAATTCTGGTGGCTGGCTGTCAGCCTGTCAGAGGAGCTCCAGGGTTAAAAATGCTGGATCTCGGCAACATGTCATCAGCCAGACGTCTCCCGAGCCCAGCAGCCCTGGGCAGCTGGATCATAAGCTGCAACACCATGCCCCCAAAAGTGATGACTTCATTTCAGCTATACAAACATTCACCTCGGCCACAAGTTCGCAGCACCGCTGGTGGTGGATTTGGTCATGTTGATGGTGGTTAACTTTGGTATTGATGTTCATCTTGACTAGCCTTTAAGTGAACTTCAGGAAAGGGAACTGATTTCGGACTGGGTCAGAGAGGCCCTCCGCAGGAATATCATCGGTCATCGGCTGCTCTACACTAATCTCCCACAACAACGTACCTCCTTTCAAGCAAAAGTCCAATAAAGTCCTCTGGAATTCTGTAATCAAACATCTCTGTTATTTGGAATTATTGAGGCTGAATGGGTCATGCAAACTGTGAGGCATCTTGAAACATACTGGAGACTTGAAAACTGACTGGATGATCGCTTAATAGCTTCATTGACTGCGGAAAATTCAAGAGTTCAATGCTTCAGTCCATAAAACATAATCCTTTTTGCTCAATCTTTTTCCCCTTGCATTGGGACTTGGCAGTATATGATAATGTGTGTGTGAGTATGTGTGCGTGTGTGGAGACAGTCTTCGTATAAGCTCACATAGAGAGAGGGCCTCCTTCTCAGTAGGAGTTGCTGCTGATAGTCGGCTCTCTGCTCCGGCCCCGCGCCTGCTGAAGGCGTGCATGCTTCTTGTTGCGCCGCGTTTTTTGGGATGGTTCCTTGGCATCTGATTGGTTGTGGTGGCGGGTGAAGCGCTTACACTTGCAGGAGGTCACCACGTGGATTTTGTAGGTCCGGCTCTGGCCGTTGGGGCACTGCAGCTGGATACGCTGGGTGCGGGAATGGGCCGGAATGCAGCGGTAGTCGGATGCGCTGCTGCGCCACCACTTGCTCCGGAGGATGGAATTGGGCATGAGGTGAGCAGGCAGGCACTGGCCAGAACACACCAGTTCCTTCACTGGCTTGGCACTACGGCAGGAGCCGTCGGCGATGTATCGAGTGGAGCGCAGCTCTCGACAGCTCACCTCAGACACTCCTAAACACGCGCAGAAAGAGAAAAAAATTAGATCAGGCTGAAATACTACTTCCCTTAGAATTCTGTGCTACCATTCTGTGCTACATCTACTCAAAATGAATCAACTAAATAAAGGGGTATTCCGCCCAATTTTCAAAATTTCTGCATAATTCAATCAATGAAAGTCTTCAAAGTGGTTTCATGTAAAATGTTTCACTAAAGAGAAACTTTTCAACTTCGATTTCTTTACAGCAGTGGTGGAAGAAACCAGGGGTTGTGATGTCTTTTTGTAAATACAAGCATTTTATTTACTACCTAAAAGCACCAGTGAACCTACATGTGCCTACATAAGTTTTAATATATAATGTTGTTAATGGTTAAAATGTAAAATGGTAAAATAAGTTTTGATTGGGGAATATATTGCCTTTTAACACACTACATAACCCCTTTTTTTTAGTCAAAGTTTTTTTACTCAAAGCTATCATAAAACAATATCTCAGGCATTAGGCAGGGTATTTATAACCAATTCATGTAATGAATTTCTGTTAAGAAGCTTTAAGAGGCATTAAACTCCTGTCTGGTTCCTATCACGACCACTGTGAACAATTCTGACTTGGTAGGTTTCTCTAGAACAGAGCATTTCACACTAAATGACTTTGTTTACCAATTAATTAGACTGAAAAAGTTTAAAGTTTAAAAAATAGGTGGAGTTTTTCTTTAAGGAGTCTAAGTAGCAAAATGGTCTGTTTTGCTACTGTACATGTGCCTTAAATTCCTTAAAACCGCAAGGGTCATATGTGACTCACACTCACAACAACACAACCTAGATATTACTTTCATAGTACATGTTTTTGGTTTGGGCGTACAGGCCTAGAGAAAAATCTATAACTGATGTAGAAAACTGACGTTATGTCAAGGCTCTTAGGACTCACATGTATTACTTATAAAAACAACTTCCAACAAACCATCCACTGAAAAGTTCTTTAGGGAGCCAGAAGTGGTTCTTCTATGGTATCAGTCCAAAGAACCTTTTTTGCCACCTTTATTTTAAACTAGGGATGCACAATGATTTCGACACCATATCAGTATTGACAGCTATGTGCTTAAAACATATCAGCATCAGACAGATGTTTAGGTATGACCAGTATTTCAAAACAATATTTTTTGACGCATTCATTGTGTTCCAGAATATAGTGGTGCATTACTATATTTAACTAAATCGCTAGTCACAGCAAACTTATCTGATAGTGTCTGGACGGAATGTAATTCGGATCCAGGCAGTCAAGAAACTGTGTGTGCTGGCACCTCAGTGGGAAATACAAACTGATATAGATTTATTTTTCAACATTGGTTTAGTTTAAACATAACACTCAGCGCAGTTCAAACTTTGTCATGTCAGCTCGTGGCCTAGATCCACATGCTCTTATTCAGTCCGCTGTGTCTCCTCGCTGAATTACAGCACAAGGCACAGGAGGTGTCAGCTAAAGCAGTGATACTGTGGAGGGATCTGTATCCTTCTGCAGCTCTCCTCACTCACAACAACAAAGGATTTATGTATGTGTGATGAGTTCAGGTTTTCCCTCCCTGCCTTTCAGAGAACCTGATCTGTTTTATGAAGGCCCAGTTGTAGTGCTCCCCTCGCTGTGAGAGGGGGAAGGAACTGGAAGCCAGCCAGAGAGAGGTCAACACATTCAGCATGACCCCAAACTGTCCACTAGAGACCGCACACACCCCCCTCTCAGGGACGCAGGGTGTGTGACAGTCCTTTACAGATTAGCTTATGCGCATGGCATTCCATTCTTGTTGATTTGTCACTACAGTCACTTTTTCTGATATTGTTCTGTTTTTTTTTTATTCTATTTTTTATTGACACCTGTTCAAATCTTGTTACTCTGTTTGAAAAGCACCTATTTGCACTTAAAGTGAAACTTTAAAAGTTTTCAAATAAATTGTTTAGATGTTAGCAAAGTCATTCAGAGTAGTTTCATGCGAAATGCTCCGTTGCAGAGAAACCTACCAAGTCAGAATTATTCACAGCGCTGATAGGAACCAGACATCTAGAAAGTTTAATGCCTCTAAAAGCTGCATTATGGAACGCTTTTACATAAAACAGTTGCCTGATGTTTGTGACATTATGATATTTTTGCAAAAGTTTGGCCTAAAATGTATTTCTTTAAGTCTTGGTAAAGAGGTGCATCCAGGGTGTACTAAGGCAAAATAGTGTGCAAAGAAAACCTTCTCTCCTTTACCACTGTCAACATTACATGTAAAAACTCAGAAGACATGCATAGGTACACTGGTCATTTTGGAGAGCAAATAAAATTGGCTAAGTTGCTTTAGACATCGCGACCCCTGGCTCCTATCGCCACCATTGTAAAAAAATCAGAGCTATTAAATTTCTCTACAGGGCATAATTTCACCTCAAACCCTTTCAATTACTTTATTTACATTTCAATGGTTGAACTTAGAAAAAAATGGTAGAATTTCCCTTTAATGCGAATACTCCAGCTACTGGAACTCCCTAATTGACACATTAAATAAGCAGAAGGGTGCTGACATTACTGACAGCCATAATTCAGGTAAAACCTCAGCTAAGAGCTAAGAGTTGAATTTACTGAAGCATTTAGTAACCACAGGTGGGAGTCATTCACTAAAGCAGCGTTGCATTTAAATAACAATTTTAAAATACCCTCAAGAAATTTCCCCACAGACTCTGACCTGCTATTCTGCTTGGAAACATGCTGATGCAATTAGATAGTTATGCAGACCTTGACTAATTGTATAAAAGTGCGGAAATGGCAGGAAAACACTGAGTTATCAGTGCATCACCTGCCTGCAACACACAAGTACTGACTGATTCCTCTCGCACTTTCATATCCTACAGCAGGATTCAGAAACATGCAATGGCACAATTAATTTATTTAAATTAATTAAAAAATGATGCTCTCAAATTGTGTGTAGGCTGTGGAAATTTTTACATACGTGAAATAAAAATATATTGATGAAATCTATCAGTGAGAACCTCTAAACTGTTCCTAAATTCCCCTCACAAGTGCAGTTTTCAACCAGTGTTAACTCTGGTTACCTACAAAACAGGCTTCTTTTCATTTTCAAGAATGTAGTCCCTCACTACAGAAAACCTGTGACTGACTTAGGCTTTATGACCCTCAGGAGGTCATAGTTTCGGACCGCAGAAACTAAAGGGTCACCCGTGTGGCTTAATCCAAACCAAACAAGGAGACCATTCTGATGGCTTCTATGAATAAAGGCTTATAAATGGTTCTTAGCCTGGACATATGGTTGTAGTGAAAACTTTTAGTTAAGTTAGTGAACTTTTACATGTGAATGTTCTCTAAACTTCAAAAATGCTCTTTGAAAAGCTCTTTGGGTCACCGAAAGTGGTACTGCTCCAAAGAGCCCATTTGGCACCTATGAGACTATATCATCATACAGACAATCAGAGCCAAAATGTTATTCAAAATCGTTTAAGCTACTAAATTACTCACTAAAATGCCTGTATGCAGAGTAAAAGGCCAATCCTGTCAAACCATTGAGCTTCAAAGCAAAAGTATTTGCATCAAACCAGAGTGACAGAAGTTAAGTGGCACCTAGAGCTCAGCCAATGAAGCAATTAATCAATTATTCAAACGCCAACGTATCAATCAGTCAAGCGCCTGATCGATTAAACTGCATACTTTACATATCAAACAGTAGTGAAGCTCAGGCTACGCTTCTCTGAACTCTACTGAAACTCAGCTAACAGGTAGGGCTGCGTGTGTCAGAGCTACTTGCCGTATGTGGGGCTGTTAGCTGAGGGCCTCCTGCCCCCGTTCTTCGCCTGGTTCATGGTGTTGTTGCTGAGCGGTGGTCTCTGCTCTTCTGGATGAGGTGTATCCTCGGTGTACTCTGTTATCAGCTCTGTAGCATCGTTCTTCAGGGCTCCCCATGCCCCTGTTCCGCTCAGCCAAAACTGCAGCAGCAGCAGCAGCGGCCACGACTGCACGAGCACCACGGATACAGACACGTGCATTTCTTCACTGATCTCTCCTCTCAGGGCCAGCTTCACTTAATCTCTCCCATCCGGCAGCAGCGCGTCCTCCTTAAGTACCTCAGCGGAGAGCCACGACAATTAAAGCGCTCAGCCCGAGTGGGAGGAGGGAGCGGAGCGGCTCATTCAGAAAGTGATGGGGAGGAGGGGACGCGTGCGCGCGCGCGCCTGTCTGGGCATGTATTGAGCGCTTTGTGGGGACCAACTGTTTCCAAGAATGACGACAGGAAAATACGAACATGTCGCATTAGTGGGGGGCGTTTGGCTGCTCCCCGCGAGGATTTTTGTTTTTGGCTCAGTTGCATTTTCCCCAGGTTAACGTTAACCTCTGGAGGATGCATGTATTTAGCTCTTTGTGGGGACCAACTGTCCCCCTGGTGACAAGAACAGAAAAACATAAAACTTGTCGTTGTGGTGACATTTGTCTGGTTCCTTTTAAAAGCAGAAATGATTTTACACTCTCCAAAAAGGTGCCACATAACGGGCCTTTCAGCAATGCCATGGGAGAACCATGCTTAAAGAACCCAGTTTGAAAGTGAGGTCTACAAATATAAGGGGTTCTTCATTTAACTTTTACATTATGCTGAGGTCCTTTAAACTTCAAAAGGTTCTTTGCACTTACACAAAGATAAATCTCCAAAAAATCTCCACTGAAAGTCTGTAAAAAGTTTTTATATGGTACTAAAAATGATTCTTCTATGCCGTTGCACAAAGAACCCATTCTGGTAGGCCTACCTTTATTTTTAAGAGTGTGTTTAAAACATTAAAAGTGCAATTTCTTTTGCAAGATTACACTCAGAAATATGAACCAAAAGAGGTTGTTCTACTAACATATCAACATCAAATTAATTATTTGTGTTGCCTTAAAGTTTACATACAATGGACAAAGATTAATCAAAGTACATTTCAATAAACAAACACTTTATTTTGATCCGTTTCAGTGAAGCCCAAATAAATTGCACTGAAATAATTCGAGTTTGTTCTATCAGCAGTTGAGCTTTATGTTGAGGTAACAAAGTCTGTGTATACTGTATACTGACTGTTCCCAATTTCATTGAGTGCAAATGTGTGGCATAATTGAACAAAGTTCATATGACAAACTTTGAGCATGGGGCTGGTTTAGGGGTAGGACAATAGCATTAAACTACAGTCACACGGAGGTCATTGGAAAGACAAAGACAAGAATAGAGAGAGAGAGAGAGAGAGACAGAGAGAGATCTTGTAGGACTCTCACTCTTCCAGTAAATGGTGTTTTCCATATCTCCTGTCTGGTCTGTTCTCCTAAAGGTGCTTGAGCTTACATTTGATCTCCTCTATTCCACAGCTGTGATTTACACATGACTTACTTAAAGGGGAGAATGACTGGAGGACAGGTTTTCATGACAGACTGCTTCATACATTAACTTATTTAAGCCAAAATACATGGCTTGCAGTTTTTCCTCAACATCTCAACAGTGTGGCTCCTTCATTAAGACTACTTTCCAGTATGTCTATTTCCAGTATTATTTTACAGAAGCATTTTAATTCAGTCTCTATGATCAGTTCCACTACATAATTAACCCACCGTGTGATGCCCTACGCCCAGCATGGTGGCTTTAAGGACAATTCATCTACCAGTTTTAAAGTCTCTGTGGTAAGAAACTAACAAATTGTTCAGTTATAGATGTTTGACATAATTAGCTCCAACTACTATGACACTGACTCATTTGTACAAATGCTGCCCTCTTGAGGGAACCCAAACATACAGATGACTGAAAAAGAGTGCATAATTTCCCTCCAGAGTGGCTTCCAGTAAAACTTGCCTACTATTCTGGTACATGGATCAAATGTGAGGAATTTCTGTGATTATTGTTTGTCACTTCCTAAAAGCAATACTCTAGCAATTTTCATCCTAATCACACATTGGCTTCTATTAGCAGTGAGTTTGGAGTCAGCAGGCTTTCTGTTCCGTGTCAAAATTATCTGTAGAACTGAGCATGATCTACAGGTGCAGCAGACAGAGGTTAGGTTAAAATGATGCAGAGATATTCCTGCAGTGGTAAGAAACCTTTCTTAAAGTGTAAAGAAATATAATATGTAAGTCTCAGATCGAGACTGCGTCTGAAAGCAGACATTTTTGTGCCTGCGTCGCTCTGATGCGTCACATTGTCTGATCATTTATGGAACTGAAGCCACTGCCACACTGAGGGAATGAAAGGGAAAGAGAGAGTGTTTGTGACTCCTCATCTGTCACTCCTGTCAGCACAACAGAAGGGAAAGATTGTACTGTCCACCGCGGTTCCTCGCTGATTGCACCCTGCGCTCGCTCTCTGTCATTGAAGGACTCTTTTTATACCTCCTTGGGTTTGTGCACTGAAAACGCAGGCTCCAGCCATGCTTTGTCAGGACAGCAGCTTAAGGATAAATAACACTCAGATGTGGCCCAGATTTTGCTCCGGCTGCCAGAAAAGGATATTTTTATAGGAAAGCAGTAACACAACGATAAAGCCGCATAAACAAAGTATTTAACTCTGCAGGACTGACGGTGAGAGGCCTTCAGATGAATAGACCACTAACAGACTTTGCTGGCCACACAATGTTGGAGGAAGCATCCTGATAAGATGACACTGGGTCAAGTCCTAGCAGATGTGTTATTCTTACCAAGAAGTTTTTCAGTCCTGCTGCGTCTCTCCTCTCATGTGGTGGAAATTTACATTCTGCTAAAAAATACAAGGTTACATTTGTGTGGAATAATGCTTACAGAACAACAGATCCCTGCTGCAGAAATATTTTTCATAGTGATGATAGCTATACTGTTGCAAACACTTGAAAAGCTGTAAGGCTGTATCATCTGAATTGAACGTTCTTAAGAAAAATATAGATATTTTCTTTTATTAATGATATCACATTCAGCAATATTTTGCATTCACAGTTAAGCAATAAGTAAACTCACATGGAAACTAGATGGAACTATCTTCTCTAACATACCAGTCATTTTAGTTTAGTTTAAATAAAGTTTAAATGCTGTTCTAAAAGATGATTTCTACATTATTTGATCATTTCCTAGTAATATCTTACTATATACTATTATACTAGTGTTATTATTCTTATTGTTATATAGGGGAGAAGGGTGGTGATTGGCACAGTATTACCTTTTGCTTTTAGGGGCGGGGGGGGGGTTCCTCACAGAAATTCAACATGAAAATGATTGCCTTCTTGACCAACATTCATCAATTGTCAAGAGGCCCGAACATTGCAATCTGTCAAGATGGGGAAAACTTTCTTGTTTTCTATGTTAAACAAAAATACAAAAAAATATTATAGTAGTACAATTCATAGCAGTAAATACATTGCAAAGTAAGATTAATATTAAAATGTATTCATTTTAGTTAGTAAAAACAGCAATCAGCTATACTTTGGTATATTTGGTAAATTTGTGTCCTGATGTGGGTGGGGTTGGTTGGCACATTGGATTTGGAGTTGGTTGGCACCTGTATCAGGCTGCCAAAGTGTAGAGCTATTGTGACAAACATGTTTTAATGTATACTATGCACAGCACACATTAAATAGCATACTAAATAACATAAACAAACTAACTATAATGCAGCATTTATATCGAATGGACAATAAACATTTTAGCGTCGACACAGAAGAAGACACAGAAAACCCTGCACATATGGTATATGGAGCAGTGCAGACACAATATGTAAAAAGTTGTTCTTACCTTTATGCTGTAGGCCATTTCATAGTATCAAGATGAAAATAACGCAACACTGAATCTAAACTACTTAAATATTAAATTAATTAAATTTCAATATCAAATTTTTGATTTAGTTTGAAGTAAAAGCTCTGATTATTTCTATTTGTTGCTTCACTTTGCTTGTAGCTTTTGAACATAAAATCATGCAAAACATGAATTTAGTCATAGAGTAATTCCAGGATTATATTTTGACACAGAAAGTGTCTGCTTTTAGCTAAGATGTTCAGCTTTTATTTGCTGCTAGGTGTGTTATCCTAATGTGTGGAATGCCTGGAATATATGGCTGAGAGTGGAAACTGTGCCAACCAATCCTGTTCTTCCATATCCTGGTCAAAAATGCTTATAAATGGTTTTAGGACTCCAAGCCCTGTGAGTAAAAAGCAAGACCATGCACTAAACAACCAGTTCGTGTTTGAAAGTACTAAACTGAATAGCACATATGATGCCCTGGAATGTTTTACCTCACTTTCTTTTTTGTTCCAGTGGCTGATTTTTCAACTACATATACAGTACCCCAAATCTGATTACATGCAGTACATCTGCAAGGCTTCACTGTTGTAAAAGATTAAGTAATGTATTATATTTCGTCCAGATTACATTGCTTAGAGCATGAGAGAACAGCTTTATTCCAGCTCAGTCATGTGTTTGGCTTAGACTATGTTACGAGTGCTTTGTAACTGAGTCCAAACATATCAAAATCTGTCAGAGATCGAAAGGTTATCTGAAGTTACATGCTTTCCCACTGTGAGACCCTCTGATTTTCAACCCGAAAATAACACATCTGGACTCGGAGAACGCACAATAACTTGTAACATTCCACTCATCATTTAGAAACAAAATCAGAGGTCAGCATCACCTGTAAAGCAAAACTACTTGCCATCTTCTGCTGCTTCAGCCGTGCTACATGTGCCTCATGTTCAAAGGAGCCCATTTGAGTTTAGAAACAGTGGAAACCTCAGCTGCGGTTTCACTCAGAGCTTTAGCAAACCTCACGTACCGCTGGGTCCATGTGTTAACCACCCTGCTTCCTCACTCTTTAGCCAGCTCAAATGAACATTCCGGCCACAGGTGCTATTCTTAGCAGCTCCAGTAATTAGCCAGCAAATTATTCCCTACAAATGTGCAGCTCTTCGAACAGGTTTTATACGTTTTTTTTTTTCTTTTTACAAGATACTTTTACACGGTGACTGCTTGCAGTGAACCTTATGTTTTCTCTAAAACTGGGGTGACATAATAACCTGTCACCAAATTATACCCTGTGGGATTTGAGGTAAACGGAATGAATTTCTTGTGCTTTCAAAAAAACAAAACATGTTGAGAGTATG